TGATTTTTTTATTATTAATTGTTTTTGACTTTTAACTAGCTGTCAGTAACTGCGAGTACTCTAAAATCGTACTTTCTTGTTTATTTGACCTGTTGATACTACTTGTAATGCGTTTTTGTTATTTAATGTTATTCAGGGCTATATCTGGTCTATATACTAGCTTTGGTTTGGTATTACTATGAATTTTCACTTCTTCGTACTATGAACATCAACATTATTTATTTTTTTTAAATATTTCCTTTCTCCATTTGAACTGTACACGTATACCTAACAACACAATTATTTTCATTTACCTGTGTTTAAAGTAATTGCAAATGGCTGATATATTTGTTCAAGCATATTGTTTTTCTTAATAATTTAACATTTCACAGCGGTATAACATGTTACTTTAATTATTCTTCCCTTAGTTTATTTATTTTGTATTTACATTGTATCATAGATCAAATTTATTTGTTCAGTGTATGTTCACTGGTGTTAATATGTCTTTTGATTGAGTTAAGCCATTTCAATTGATATTTTATAGTGTGTCTTTCTATGTTGTGATGTTACACTATTGTTTCAGATAAGGGTGAAGGTTTGGTACCATTAAAACGTTTAAACCCGCTGCAATTGTTTGCACCTGTCAAAAGTCAGGAATCTGATGTTCAGTGGTTGTCGTTTGTTGATGTGGTTCATAAGTGTTTCTCGTTTTTTATATAGATTAGACCGTTGGTTTTCCCGTTTGAATGGTTTTACACTAGTAATTTTTGGGGCCCTTTATAGCTTGCTGTTCGGTGTGAGCCAAGGCTCCGTGTTGAAGACCGTACTTTGACCTATAATGGTTTACTTTTATAAATTTTGACTTGGAAGGAGAGTTGTCTCATTGGCACTCATACCACATCTTCTTATATCTATTATCAAAATCATTGTGTCAATTATTAAAATCATTGTAATAAATTACTTTGCTCTTTATGGGCCCTTTAGTTGGAATAAAATATCTTATCTTATCAACATTTTAATAAACACCAATATTCTGATGCACGCATAATTGTTTTCTCATGCAGTTGTAGTAAATAACCTTAATTTAATCTTTTTCATGAACAGTGTTTTGAATTGGATAAATTTCATAAGTAGGGTAAGTTTTTAAATTGAATTTTTTTGTTTAAATACAATTGTATACTATGTTACATTCAATGTTGAATTATATCATACAATGTATGCCGACATATTATAAAACGATAAACTCAAAGTAAATAATCGTATGTCTTGTACACTATATAAGATACTAGGATATACTTAGTACTTTCTAGCTAATAATATCTCTTGTATTTAACATGATTTGAAATACTCGAAAACTAATATTGTACCATGTCTTTTAGTATTGATATTAGTAGAATATGAGTACTTTTATTTTTATGATTTTTTTATATTCTGCTTCCAAAATTTCATATAGTTTACATAAACTGGACAACAGCACATGTTTACCAGAAAATACAGAACACAACACTAAAGAATTGAAAATTACGCTCAGCCTGGTACATTAACACTTAAATAATATATCTTCAACTTGAAAACATATACAATTTGTTCGACTTTACTTAAAACTACACAACCTCTTATCTTCATTATGAAACTATTTTTTACATAAAAAACTGTAGATATAAACATTGCGTTTCATCAAGTTTTATCAGGAGCATCAGCGTTTTCTTCTATTTTTAAAATATTTTACTTCAGAGGTGACATACATTGGCTATGTAGGTTAATATAACGCATCCGCATCCAAAAACTAGAACAGAGTTGGAAAATGTAATTAGATAACATTATTAATAATAAAAATGATAATCATATGAAAATTAATAGCTATGGTCATAAAGTAATTTCGGTGCAATCTTCGTCCTTTCTTTTATTTGTTTAATGTGCAGACGTAGGCTTGGGTCATTTATCTTTACCTGCGTCGCAGAAGGCGAAAGCAGGTCTAGTAACCGCTCGACTCTGTCCGTCCGTCCGAAACACCTTGGGTAGAAAACTTTCATCTAATTTTGAGTTATAGCGAGTCTGAGTAGCTAGTAAGCAGTTTTTAAAACCGCCGTGCAGCCACTTCCCTTCCTGTTTGTCAATTGTTTGAAATTTTACTGCACTCAATTTTTGTCAAACTTTTCTTGGCTTCTATAAAGGGGAATGGTTTAATATTTGGTCTGCATGTAGCTTGATAATTTAGATCTGTAGCGAGTAAGCAATTTTTACGTCAGCCGTGCATTCGCTTCCTGTTTGCCGATATTTTGAAATTTTACAACACTCATTATACTAGAAAATTTTTCGTCAAACTTAAAAAATTTCTCGACTCCTATTGAAGATAATGATTAATTATTTGGCCTGCAGCTTCATAATGTAGAGTTGTACTTCATAATGTAGAATTGTAGCGAGTAAGCAATTTTTGTATCTATCGTCCAGTCACTTTCTGTTTGTCGATATTTTGAAATTTTACAGCACTCATTGTACAAGGAAAATGTTTGTCACATTTGTTTTTTGTCTTCAATGAAAGGGAATGATGAGTTATGCTTCAGTATACATGTTACCTCAGTCAATTGCATGCAGCGACGCAGGTCAAGATCCGGTTTTTATTTGGTCTTGTTAAGGTTTGGTGTTATTTTACCACCATGGAATTTTTTTTCTTCTATGCATTGTTTTAACATTGTCACAGATAACACGTGCAGTCATAGCTGTTGTATTTTATACGGAAATAAAATTATATATTGGAGTGCCTCACGATTGTTGTAAGCCAATCAAAATTATTGATTCTAATGAAACATACATGCAATAACATTATATATCATAATAAACATCTGATTGTCGGGATACATAATTTCCGCACGACCTTTTTTTTTTTTAGCAATGTGCACTTCATACAAAATGAATTGGAATGTGCATGGCCTTTGTTAGTCTTGTATCATTTTTAATTTTAGTTTCCTGTGTATAATTTGGAGTTTAGTATGATGTCCATTATCACTGAACTAGTATATATATTTGTTTAGGGGCCAGCTGAAGGACGCCTCCGGGTGCGGGAGTTTCTCGCTGCATTGAAGACCCATTGGTGGCCTTCAGCTGTTGTCTGCTCTATGGTCGGGTTGTTGTCTCTTTGACACATTCCCCATTTCCATTCTCAATTTTATATGTTACGCTTTTCTGATACTGGCTAATATTAAATGAGTTTTTCGTGTCAATATTGTACAATTTAAGCAAAATATGGTTATTTATTCCATTTTATCTCAGCAAGATTGGCTGAAAACAGTCGTGAGGTATTCCAAAATCAAATTTTATTTTTCAATAGAATGCAACATTCATGAAGCACGTGCTTCCCTTTACAACGTCACAAATTATATTTACTGAACACTTTAGGAGTTGTAAGTGATTTACAATTTAGGAGCGCGAAGATATTCGCGTCGCGCATGCGCATGATGAAACTCATGAAATCTTTAAAGACATTTGGAGCAATACAGATGGTATTAGGTGGTATCCTAGCAACCATTGGAGGCGTCGGTTTAATTTTGGATAAGAACATAAAATTTTCACAGTTTTGTTTTTGTATGGAGATAAATTCTTGGTAGAACGGTGGGCAGGCCTGACGGACGGGATATCGGTCGGCACATATGATACCGATTTCAAGTTTGGTTTTGACGATCAAGCAGGGTTTGCTGTAGTTTGGGAGTCTCTTGTTTTATAAGAATTGAGAAAAGATGTAATGATGATGAGTGATCATTGCTAATTTTCGTAGAATGTAAAGGAAATGCATGTTTTTTAAAGTATGTATATATAATTAATAATGTTTAATTTTGATTTGTTTGCAGTTGACCGTTGTTTAAAGGGGCATTAGCTGTCAAATTCATGTTCACCGATTTGACTCAAATTCTCATATTTGATTTATAGCACATTAAAACGTATATCCAAATTTACAACAAGGCTGAAATAAACAATAAACAATGCATGGACTCGGTAATATATATCAACATTTCGTGTGTATTTTAGTCTAGACGCCATCTAATTAATCATCGAGATGACCTCCGAAGACTGCCGACGGTCACATAACCCGATATAAACATAAATATAAATAGATAGCGACCTCGTGCAATTAGACTTTTCAAGGTCTGTATGATTTCGTGTTATAGGTTGAAAAAGTAAGTTAACCATCGTTTTTACCTGCATAAGAATGATTTTTTTTGTGGATCGAATCAGTCAACAAAATGGTTGACCTTTGTTTCACTTTCAATGTTGATACTATTTTCCTTTTAATGGCTGAACACGACAAATACATGCGTAACCAATCTCTAGCTAAGGGGTTAAATTGAAGGTCACATTTAATAATACGGATTCAATGAGGTCGAATTATTCACTTGCAAGTGAATAGTTCATCAGTGATGTTTCTTAGCTTATTTTGACAAAATTGAACTAAACTGGCTGCTAAAAGCGAATTATTATTTCACTATTTTAGTTTCATAAATGATTGAACAAAAACAAAACATATATATATATATATTTTTTATATCTCGTAGCTAATGCCCCTTTAAAACAGATCTAGAGATACAATAGAAACATTTTGTACATGTGGCATATTTCTTTGTCTTTTTATCAATGGGAAGCCCTTCTCATACTGTAACTTCCGAAAAATGAAAGTTATTGTACGGTTGGACGTCACTGAGCGGAAGTTGTAGTACAGGCTCCCCTTAAAAATCTTTACGATTTGTAGAACAGATATATTTACATAGCCAAATACACGAAACAATTGATATAACACGCTATTTCATGGTTGTAGCATAAACATGTAACTATGAGAATATGTATTCTTCTTTTTTTTCTTTTTTTTTTTTTTATATCAATAGGGTTGTAAAACCGTTGATCGTGCGCACATTTTGGAAGCGCTTCACGCAAAATAGCTTGAATCGACGTTTTAACACCCAAATAAAATACAAAAGAATAATTCAATTCTAAAATTTAGTTCACATGTGATTTCGTTTCAGACGATAACATCAAAATGTTGACAGAGGCTGCGTCTGTGAATACTGACCGTTTAAATCCCATCGCTTTTCAGTTGAAATCTTTGAAGACATTTGGAGCAATACAGATGGTATTAGGTGGTATCCTAGCAACCATTGGAGCCGTCGGTTTAATTTTGGATAAGAGCAAAAAGGATTGTTCTTTTTCATTAGATATCCACTCTTACCTTAGATTTGATTTCTTAAAATGTGAAGATCGATCAAATGATCTCATTGGAATGGACGGTGCATGTTTAGGATTATCTATATGGGTAAGAATAGTCATTCATTGTAAGATGAAAATCATGAACACGATGTTATGTAAATATAGATTCCACAACTGCATTAAGTGTGTTACAATATTTCTCAACTCAAAACAGTTAAGTTTTAATATTTAAAGCATGAGGCTTGCCGAGCTTTTTAAATAATCAAAATTTAACTGTTGAGAGTGGAGAAATATCGTAATACACGAGTTATAGTGTTGGAATCTGTTTCTCTTATGATTTTTAGACGATATCTAAACAAAGTTTGTCCTTCCTTTTCAAAGATTTGCAGAAAGTTGTGGTTTTTTTTGTGACGTCATAAGACATGGTCGCCTTTTTTCATGACGTCAAATTCAGAAGAAACCAAGAAAATTTGACGTCATAATTGAATTTCGACCAATCATTTGCCGAGAATAAAGTTTTCTCTATTTCTCTCACACCGATCGAGAAATGTGAAAAAAGCATGAAAATTTAGAGAATATGGTTTTTAATATTACTATTAACCCGTTTACACTTATCTAAAAATGTATTCTACGGAAAATAGTTTTCAATAAAAAAAAAAAAATCGGAATGGAGCTTCCTTTTATCATTCACAATAATAGTGTACAGTTTTCTGGGAATAAATCCAGGCATACTAGAGTTTGTGTGGGATATGTGAAGAATTTCCAAAATTCAAATGGTTAAAGTCCCGTAACTCTAGCACGACAAACCAGAATTTTTTTTTTATCAATCCCAACAATAATGTAATGTTTTGAGAAAATCATTCCAGGCATGATGTAGTTAGTGTGCAATATGTGAAAAATTGTCATAATTCAAATGGTTAAAGTCCCGTAACTCTTAAACGACACAACCAAAAGGACGGAAATAAGCTAGTAATATGGTTTTCAATTACTTAGTACAATGTAGTATGAAATGTCAATGTTGGTGTCATTTATTTTCTTAGCATCAAAGCACTAGCACTTAATATTTATAAAATGAGATCTTTTGGTAAACAGTATTATGACAGCAACCTAACGATACATACAAAAAAAAAAATAATATTAAGATCAACGAACGACCTTCAACAATAGTCATTACTCTGTACCATAAGTCAAGTTTTAAATCGCTCTGTGTCTTGAAAAAACGTGATTAATCTTAATAGAAACTACCTAATATCTGCAATCATACCACACTCCTTAATAAACTAAAACTCTGGAATATAAACAAATAATCCCTATAAGGGTGCTGACTGACACATATTTCGGGGTTAAAGTAGCTTTCTAGTACTGAACCATCTAAAGACTAGGTCAGTCCTAAAATAAACTTTTACATTTTCCCCATCAACTAGCTTTATGTTTTCATTGATTTAATAATTCTAATGCTATTTCATCAAATGAAGAAAAAAAAACACGTTTTTTTAACCCCCTCTAATATATATCATATGTAACATATTTTTCTGTCATCATAATAAGATTACACAGATATTTCAGAAGGATTGCATCGTTATGATTGGTCGTGTGAGACAACTATCACGAGTGGTTTAAAGTGATGTTTTATTGCCCAATAAAACGCAGCATCCATTGACTGCATGTGCTTTCCATGACAACACGGCAACAATGCGTGGGAATAATCAAAACAAAACACAATAAAAACTTACTTTAGCTTATAATTGTAGTTTTAAAGCTTATAAAGTGTAATTATTAGAATTGAATGCTTTTTGTACTTTTATTTGGTTGAAAAGGCGTTGATTGGACATACATTTTTACTATGAAACTGTTCCTCGTTTTTCACCAAATGTGCTTTCAATTGGTCAACGATTTTACCTTCGAATAATTACATCAGATGTATGTTTCATTATTATACGTTAGTTTGATTGGCTAACAGCAATCTCGCGTCATTCTTCATTTCAAAATGAATTTCATGAACTGTAACATACATGATGACACACGTTTCCACAATGCACAGGTAAATAAAAGAAAAAAAATGATAGTAATCGTGTTTTCATGGTCATAGCGAAAAAATGTAATTATAAGTATTGAATTCTTCTTTTAGTAATTTCACAGGGTTGTAAAAGCGTTGACCGTGCGTACATTTTTAGAATGAAGCGCTTCCGCGCTTCATACAAAATGTACTTCGGTCAACGCTTTTACACCCCAATGAATTTACAAAAAGAAGCATTCAATTCTTAAATAAATACAAAAAAGAACCATTCAATATTTAAAAAAAAACCAGACAACTATGGATTACCAACTTTGTCTATAATTGCATAAAGTATTGCATGTTTCGTTTCAGAAATCTGTTCCTTGGACACTTGAACATATATTCAAATAAAAAATATTTACATTTATAAGGTATTATCTGGCCTCTGAATTCCCAAAAATTGTGAAAATTTTAAATTCTTTCAAAATTATGTTTGTTTTATTGTTAAATGAATAGAAAAAAATAATATTATCTGGACACTGAAAAAGAAATGAGTGTTGTGTTGTCACTGTGACGTCATTAATTTTTTACCTTTAAAAGGGCTCAAATAGGACCTTGTCCTACCTTCTCCTGTAAAAAGTTGAACAAACTAAGCTTATCAATGGAATACTTATAATTATCAAAAAACGAATATGCATTATATATGTATGTTGTATGTTATAGGTAATGGTAACTGGTGCCATACCAATGTTTATGACCCAGAAGAGAGAAACGGAATGGAGAAGTCTGGTAAGGTTTTTTCATGATTTTCAACCGGATTTTCGAAGGAAAAATCGGTTATTGATTTGGGGATGTACGGCGGGCGGGCGGCTTCAAAACAGTGTCCATTCATTAACATGAAAACTCTTTAACGAAATCTTTTCAAATTTAGATATGTTCTTTCCTGTGACTAAATGAAGGTCAAGTTCAATTTTCACGATTTTAGCTTTTCTCGTTGTTGAGTTGTAGACCTTTCAGTAGGGAAAATGATATTTATTATATGATTTATTTTTATTTTGAGTTATTTCCCTTTGAACAGAAATGGCGTAATTAATAAGTATATGGATAGATAGTCTATCAATGATTGTATCTGTTCGATTGATTTTAGTCAGGAATTGTCAAAAATTTCTTATAACTATTTTTTTTAAAGTCATGAGTGTTTTGAATGTAGATGTCACAGTTGTTATGTGGTATTTTATTTTTGTTGTGTGTGTTAATGTTTAATTTTTAATTGATCCTGTTTGGGGGTCCAGATTTGCAAATATCATTTTCATTAGATGATAATCTATTGCTATTAAAGGATATGTTTCATTACATTATATTGTGCAGATAAAGTTGTTGACATTGATAGACAAGTTGCAGATATTAGTTTGTGACAAATGAAAGAAAAAATATTGGGAACTATTAATTATATTATGGAAGTATTATATTGACGTCAATATAATATTTCCATGATTACACTAAGTGTTTTTTAAAAGATAACAAAGCATGTGTTAATTATCAATCACACAATTATAATTGGAGTGACCGATTTATTTGAAAATTTTGTGTTTCCTAAGTGTTGTTGATGATAAGCTCTGTACATAGCCTTATCTCCTGCCTTATTTTCTGTATATCTAAATGATCTCCAAGATTTTTTAGAGAGATCAAATTTATCTGGTTTGACTTCTATTAACTCAGATACGTTTACTTAAAATATTTTTATGTTTATATGCTGATGACACTGTTCTGTTAGCAGAAACCAGTTCTGATTTACAAAATATGTTAAATGCTTTCTCAAGTTACTGTAAAAAATGGAAGCTGATTGTTAATGTCGAAAAAACAAAAATACTAATTTTTTCAGGTATTAGAATTCCACAAAACTTGAATTTTGTTATAGATGATAGTAAAATTGAAATTGTCAAAGGCTACAAGTACCTTGGTATATTTTTCGCAAGAAGTGGTTCGTTTTTGACAACACGAAAATATTTATATGAGCAAGGTATGAAAGCTGTGTACTCTGCCTTAAAAAATGCAGACAGAACAATCTATCTATAGAGTGTCAGTTAGATATTTTTGATAAAGCTGTAGTGCCAGTTCTTCTATATGCCTCAGAAATTTGGGGTTTTGAAAATTTTGATTAATTGGAACGTATTCACCTCAGATTTTGTAAGATGATTCTACATTTAAAACAAAGTACACCCAATTTTATTGTTTATGCTGAGCTTGGCAGATATCCTATATCATTAAAGGCAAAAGTTCGTATGATTAATTTCTGGGGCAGATTATTAAATGATTAAGAAAGTAAAATATCTTGTCTACTATATAAACTTTTATTCGTTAATTTTACTATGTATGGATATGAAAACAAGTGGCTTGTTTATATAAAAAATATTCTAGACAGTTGTGGAATGTCAAACATATGGAATATACAATTTGCTGATAAATGGGTATCAAAAAGTGTTGACCAAAATTGCAAGACCAATATAAACAGTCATGTTTGTTAGATATAGATGCTTCACCAAAAGGGTTATGTTATAGAATTTTTAAGACAGAAATTAAGTTTGAGAAATATTTTAATATTTTGTCAAATAACCATTTGTATACATTGTGCAAATTTAGATGTGGTAGTCACCGATTGCCAGTTGAGACGGGAAGATGGCAGGGTCTTGCAAGAGACAATAGAGTATGCCATCTTTGTGACTGAACTAACATTGGTGACGAATACCACTACATTATGACTTGCGAAGCACTTAAAACAGATAGAACAAAATTGTTATCTAATTATTTTGGGAAAAATCCAAACACATACAAATTTTATGTTTTATTCAATTCTACAAATACTGTACAATTAGAAAAAACTGTGTAAATTTATTAAAATTATTAATGTGAAAGTATGTCCTCCTAGTTAAAATATGTAACTTACATGTAGTATGCATTTAGTTAGTCTATTTATGTATATATATGTACCATTCTCTGTAACATTGTATTTAGTTTATGAGAATAAAAGATTCATTCATTCGCAGTATAAATATAGTTTGAAATTTACTGTTCATTATCAGACATTTTGAAGATAATTACAGATAAGTTTTATAGATTTTTAAAAGACATAGTATTCAAGAATGATAAATGATATTTTGGAATTTTTTTTTTCTTTTCTTTGGTAAATTGTTTGAAGAATTTTGTGGTAGGTTTGTTTGTTGTTCTGTATAATCTAATTTTCTGAATGCTATATATATTTTTTTTACTTGATCCAGATTGGCAAATATCATTTTCATGCAAGAAAATCCGGTTTGCTGTCACTCTGACAGCCTCTTGTTTATAAATAAAGTTGTTTTCTCGTTTGAATTGTTTTACATTTGTCATTTCGGGGCCTATCATAGCTTGCAGTGCGGTATGGGCTTTGCTCATTGTTTAAGGCCGGCCGTACCGTGGCCTATAGTTGTTTATCTTTATATCATTTGGTCTCTGGTAGAAAGTTGTCTCATTGGCAATCAAACCACATCTTCTTATTTTATATTGTGTATACTGTTTCGTTAGAAATAGAAATGTGTTTATTGGCACTCATACCATATAATCTTATTTTGTTTGAACGATTGGACCTTTGAACATCATTCTATCATAGTAAACAATTATAAACGTATAATCTCAATATGATACGCAAGACTTATCAGTAAAAGATTTTCTTTTGTCTAACATTTCTGTTCTATGTAGGTTTCACTAGGAAAAATTAATGTGCGTGTAGTTTTTTATAAGAAGATCATAATTATTGCTTTTTTCTTTCTATTTTTAGAGACTGGCGTTTATGGTGTGCAGTATTATTGGAGCGTCAGCAATCGTTCCAACAATCGGTGCTTTGGGACTAGCTGGTTTGATCTTCGTGCGTATTTATCTATTACGATTTCATGTCGATCAAATAAAATGCATGACTACTGTTAATGCAATTTATATATAAAAAATCCCAGTTGATAAATTAAGAAATTACTATAAGATACAAAGGTTCTATCTTCTTCAGTTAAGTTGAATTTTGCTATTCTTTTTAGGTACCGTTTAGTCAAAAAGCTCCTAACGTTTCTACGTCTTTATACATCTCTGCCACTCATTTCACAAAAAATCTTACGAGAAAAGATATTGGTAAGTCATGAACATTTCAGGATAACTTACGATCATTTTTCATCGTGAGATTTTTTATGAAAAGAGCCGCTGTCTTTCAATTGTATTGCTGTTAGCTATATTGAAAAGCCCTTCGAATGGAAGTGTCATTTTAATCTACTAGTATATGTTCAATTTTTTAAATCAAGATTCGTTTTATTCACCTTATGTTCAATTTTTTAAATCAAGATTCATTTTATTCACCTTATGTTAAATTTTTTAAATCAAGATTCATTTTATTCACCTTATGTTCAATTTTTTAAATCAAGATTCATTTTATTCACCTTATGTTCAGTTTTTTAAATCAAGATTCATTTTATTCACCTTAAGTTCAATTTTTTAAATCAAGATTCATTTTATTCAACTTATGTTCAATTTTTTAAATCAAGATTCATTTTATTCACCTTATGTTCAATTTTTTAAATCAAGATCATTTTATTCACCTTATGTTCAATTTTTTAAATCAAGATTCATTTTATTCACCTTATATTCAATTTTTTAAAATCAAGATTCGTTTTATTCACCTTAAGTTCAAACAAACTAATGACTCCACACATATTTTCTTTTGTCTGTATGATGTTCGTTGTCCCCCCCCCTTTTATGTATATACATTTTTCATTGTGAGCGCATTATATGTATTCTGTTTTCTTGTTTAAGTGAGCATGTACACACTCACTTACATGAAGGAAAAAAATGTCTTCACCCTGGTTTCTGTGAAATTTTAAGTATTATTGTAGTTATGTTATATTGATTGACATGATTTGAAAGATGTTTCAAAAACTGTATTTTTCTTTGCACAGCGAAGGGCATTATTGCCATGGGCAGTGGAAACATGGGCAACTTCAGTAGCAATAATGATAACAGCTTTCCTCACGTTTGTACTGACCATCGTTTCTTGTTCGTACTCTCTTTGCTGTGCTCCAAAACCAGAGAATGAACAAAGAGTAAGTGATAAAAACATCATTTATGATACTGTTTTTTAACAGAGTTTAAACATTAGAAACAATTGTGTTGATGCTAGGGTGTCTTATTTTCATAAAACAGAAGTTAATTTATGGATTGGAAAGCCACGATAATCACTAAGATCATTGTGCTCGTAATAGTTATTTGAATTTGCATAAATCGTGTAGCTACTATATTTTTATTGTTTATCTATTTACCCTTTTCATTCAATTTGGTCGCCAGAAAAATAATTACAAAAGCGCACCTCTACTGGACTGGGACAAAAGTTATAATCAATTGGAACTATTAGAAATGCTTTTACCGGTATTATTATTTCCACATAATTATTTGCAACATATCTGCATGGAGGTTGGCTGAATCTTTGTGTGACTTAATTATACTTGATACTGGACTTCAGCTTGCGTAAAGGCAACAGAGGCATGTACATTGATAATAAAATGCATGTATGAGGGTGTGGATGGAAATGGAGGACCCCACAACCAGACCCTCATTTATGATACCTACATAAATAGGATGCTCTTTAATCATTTTCCACTGGAATAATAACTATATGCTTTTAATACGAGTCTCTGATTGAGATGGTTAAGCATCGGTGCTCCCGAGATCACCACCGATTTTTAGTGGGGTTTGTGTTGCTCAGTCTTTAGTTTTCTGTGAACTGTTGTTTGTCTTTTTGTCGTTTCATTTCATGGCGTTGTCGGTTTGTGTTTTCGACTTATGAGTTTGACTATCCCTTTGGTTTCTTTTTAAGCATTCATTGACCCAGGGTTTGTATGGGTGATATGACGAACCTCATTTGCTCAAAGATGTTAAAAGTTTTGTTTTAATTATAAACAATACTATTATCACAATTAAAACATGGCGTCTATAAGTATGTGTCCTAAACAAGAAAACGTAGAACGGTAAGAAAATCGATATTTGAGAGTGAGTCCAATCTGATTAAATTTCTGATTTGTCGTAACTTGCGTATTCGTCTTATGAGCATAACGAAATCAGGGATCTATATTTTAATTAGATTGCGTCGTTAAGCACAACAATAGGCTGGTCCTCTCCCTTGTAACATACGGGTATCTGAGATATCCTTGTTGTCAAGGGCCGGTTACTAGTAACCATTTTTGTCAGAGCCAAACAGATAAAGGACAGGGAACCAGTCTAGTACAACAAGGACACTTGCCAAATTAATATGTTGCTTTTCTGAACGATGGAATGATAACTTTCCTTTTTAACATACATGAAGTAATATTTTTTATTCGAATAAGCCTTTACTTTTAATAGTCAGCACTTCTGTGTTGACATGAATATCATTGATTTTGGTCATAATTATAAATTAACTGTTAACAAAACTTTGAATTTTTTGAAATACTAAGGACATTCTACCACAGGAATAGATTAGATTAGTTGCATTTGACAAAACCTTTCGGAATTTTGGGTCCTCGATGTTCTTTAACTTCGTACTTCATTTGACTTTTTAACTCTTTGATTCTAGCGTCACTGATGAGTCTTGTGTAGACAAAACGCACGTCTAGCGTAAAATTTTAAATCCTGGTATCTATGATGAGTTTTTTGTATGTATCATTTCCAAAATTTACTATGAAAAGTATAGCCGAATATTTTGGCCGAATAAATTTACTGGTGCTATTTTGTTTTATATTATGAATTCAAATGCTTTCTATACATGCATATATACATTAGATACGATGCTTTCATTGTAACTCATAGCTTTTTATGATTTTTAAGACTACCATTATAAACGTTGCTAACGTTGTACCAAGTAAGGTACCAGGTTATCAGTTTCCTATGGGATACCAACCTAATCCTTACCTACAAGGACAAATGCCAATGCAGTTCACAGGAGCGGGTCAAGTTCCGGGTAATGCACCAGCTGCATCAGGATATCCACTGTGTCCGACAAGTCCGTACGGAATGGTACAACAATCTCTATCTGGTGGTAGTCCACAAACAGTCAATGATAAGAACATTGAAATTGATTGATTGTTTTTAAAGTTACCTTTTGAATAATAAATGATTAGCTTTAATTTGATTATTTATATACATTGTCTACAAATGCTAAGGTTTTGGGTATAAGATTGTATATCCATTAACACTTGTAAAAAAACATGAATATACATACGTTCTCAAGGAATGTAAATACATGTAAACTGGTTTATTGCTCTTTCTCTGTAATTCAGTCCACATAAAGAAGTGATTTGATCATATCGTGTATTTAGAATTGTTTAATCTATTTATATACGACGGTATTACATGTACCGGTAATGAATTGAGTGACATATTGTTAACAAAATAGTTTACGATACTGATAAATTACCTGCTTTTTTTATGTTAATCCATATTTATTTCTATTATCATAAAAAAAATGAGTACATGCAGTTTCATTCATTTTTACTTTTGAACAATTTTTAGTTGAGTAATACTTTAAAAAAACCGACTTATAATGCATGTTCTTTGGTATTCACCACGTTCAACTTTTTGCTATATACTTCAAATAAAATCACATTTAAAAATATATATATTGAATGCGTTTTTGGTTGGTTTTTGACAAACCAGCTGATGTCGAAAGACGCAGATTTGTCTGAAGATATTTTGTTCATTTGTTTATAGTTTTGTCATCAGCTGTTTTTTGTTTTCTCCTGATGAGAACATGAGACCTGTGACAATCCTGTTACTACTGGTACAACTTTGATTAAAGTCAAACAAGAAATGGCCCCATAATAATTCTAAAAACAACATAGTTTTATATGAAATATTAAGCAAGCAATTGTATGTGACGACCCCTTATGGGCATGTACTATAGTCTCTTACGACAAAGGTTAAAAGTTTCTCATTTTTGTACCATGGCCAATACCGTCTTTTTTTAAAGAAACAATACATTCTAATTAATTCGTAGTTGAGCACCTACAACTGACAAGATAAAGCACGGCCATAAAAGCGCTGCTTCTTGGATTTATTGCTTATTTCCGTGTACTTCGTGCTATTTTGACTCGTTTTATTTCGTCTAAATTTTTTTCTAAACCAGAAATAATACTGATTTTTTTATTTTTACACATATGAATACTTTCACATTATATAATGTAGTTAAACACTTTATGCGACTGTTCATATGTAAGCATGCAGCACTTTCCCATCGGTACATTTTGTATACGTTGAAGTGCAGATGTCTGTTAGATTGTGGTTTTACATTACGTCTTTTGGTCTTTTAATTACCGAACGTGACTTATTCCCGATTGTGACTGTTTTGCTGAGTGTGAATTCGCATTGCTATAAGACGTGTCACGGTACTTTTCTATCCAAAATTCATGTATTTAGTTTTGATGTTATATTTGTTATTCTCATCGGATTTTGTCAAATGTCTTATCGTTTGTAGTTGTAAATCTTATTTTTTTCTGTTGTATTCGTGTGTTATGGTAAAGATAATTAATCACCCAGTTCATTAATTAGATTTTAGTTTGGGTCAACTAAATTTATACGATATATATTTAGTTTACAGTTTGATTTAGAAGAAACACCAACATAGCTAGATAATACTATTAATTATCTAATTACTACCACATTTTATATTAATTGGTATTGTAATTTTCATTGTTATTAATAAATGTTATATGAGTATTATAAAACAAATCTTGAATTCTATCCTAATTTTATCCTATTTTGGGGAAATTTCAGAAATTCAAATGTGACGTCACTTTTTTTGCGTTGATCTCTTTGGCTAACTCGGCTGTGAATTTTTATGTGCTGGTTTATGTTGTTTTATGTATTCGTTTTTATTCTGTAGTTAGTCACCACTTCGGTGTTATCGTGTATATCTATTATATAGTCATTTTTATAAATTTACTGTTTGCAAAAGTATGAATTATTCTAAATACTAAGGATTTTCTTATCCCAGACATATAACCTTAGCCGTATTTGGCACAACTTCTTGGAACTTTTGGTCCTCAATGCTCTTCAAATTGTACTTGTTTTGTCTTTCGTACTTTTTTGATTTGAGCGTCACTGGTTAGTCTTGTGTGGACGAAACGCGCGTTAATTTTAAACCTGGTACCTTTTGTTAGCTAATATTCGTATGTTTCTCTGTCCTATATTTTCTCCCATTTATTTGTATTGTAGTCCTGTCATGTAATGTTGTCAATTTAATGTTATATTTAACATTGCCATAAAAGCGTGAGGTTTGGCTAGCCACAAAACCAGGTTCAATCCACCATTTTTTTCTTAAAATGTCCTGTACCAAGTCAGGAAAATGGCCATTGTTATATTATAGTTCGTTTCTGTGTGTGTTACATTTTAATGTTGTGTTTCTGTTGTGTCGTAGTTCTCCTCTTATGTTTGATGTGTTTCCCTCAGTTTTAGTGTGTAACCCGGATTTGTTTTTTTCTCAATCGATTTATGAATTTTGAACAGCGGTATACTACTGTTGCCTTTATTTGATTACCCTTTATTAAAAAGGTTCCTTTTTTATTTAAGTTTACCTGATATCTTTCATTAATGATATGTATCTAGGATAATAACATTAACGGTACCAATTTTTCTGCACCAGATGCGCATTTCGACAATAAATGTCTCTTCAGTGATGCTCAGGCCAAAATATTTGAAAATCCAAAGCTTATTAAAAAGATGAAGAGCTATAATCCAAAAAAGATATAAAAAAAAAAGTAAAGCCAATGCCGGGCAAGGAATCAGAGCTTTGCATGAGGGAGATATATTCCTTAATTTAAAATAATTTGTAAAATTTTGTAACAGCAAATTTTAATAACAAAAAATCCGTATTTTCATGCCAGAACCGAAGTACTGGCTACTGGGCTGGTGATACCCGCGGGGACTAACAGTCCACCAGCAGAGGCATCGACCCAGTGGTAGAAATAACATTAACGGTACCTTGGATAACTTATATTAAGATTTTTGTATTTTAAATTAAAATGTATATTTACATATTAAAGAGTTTTCCAAATAAGAGTATTTTATCTTCCAGACATAATCTTTACATATGAACGGTCGGTCGTCTTTAAGGTTCAAAATGCATCATTCAAACCCATTGAATTTGACATTAAGGATACAGGTTTATCTGCTTTATAGCTTGACCTTAACATACAAATCGACAGTCAGCACCGATTGCAGTTTGTATTTATTGACGATTGACCTTATTCAAATGAACAGGGGTCTGCTCCTTACATGAAAACTGATTCAACACGAGGAAAAACGACTGAAATCGGCGCTTCATAAGTTTTACGGTCACCATCACGAATTGGTTGACCGACACAATGTGTCGGTGTCCCAACTCACTGGCGACATGTTTTTGCTTTCTTAGATATTAAGATACCAGAATAGTCGTCTGATTTGTGGTTTTACCGATTGTGTCCTGTTCCCGAGTGTTGCTTTTGACTAAGTGCTAATTCGCACGACAGGTAATGCATACATAGCAAGAGACGCTAACCCTGTCAACACATTCCCTTTGGATTCCATGCAAGTCCCTCATATTTTGTTTGTTACTTTGATATGTCTCTTCATAATCGACTTACGACATTTGATCATTGGTGAGCTGCTGTCGCCTTAATTCCCAACTGCTACATTTTTATTTTTATGTAGTAACTTTCCAGTAGCACCTTCACATGGAAGATATAAATATCCTGGTACCTGAGATCACCATGGGTTTTAGTGGATTCGTATTATCCAAACTTTAGTTTTTCGGGTGTACTGGGTTTATCTGTGATGGTTGAATAATTTAACAAAGTTGGAAACATATTTATTTAAATAAAATCGTCGTATACATGTTCTGTTGTCAGTTTTTCGACATGATTTAAGAACACAATTCTCCTCTGAAACTAATCGACAAAAACAAAACTTACCCTTCATCATCCTTAGGAGGAAGATCTTCTTAAAAAATTATAACTGAGTATTAATCAAACTAACTAGACAAAAGGTAGTAACACTTATATTGATAACTTAGTTTGCAATTATACACCTTCTTTGTACTAAAATGTTGGTGAAATGTTCCAATGATGGTTGCTTTTGGGAATAGCTATAAGATTCGAAAACCCTTTTTGTCAACAAACATGACCGCCACTACTATTAAGTAATTTGTGTTAAAAATCTTTAATAGGCATGTCTCAGAACATTTTGTTAGAAATTGAAATAAAAGATAACTGTTCGACAAATTCTTTTTGTCTCGCATTGAGCCGTGGTGACGGTATAAGTTTTAATACTTCAAAGGGTGGAAGAGCTAGGTATTTTGTAAAAAATACGTGTAACTCTCCGTTCATTCAGAAGTCATTGACCTGAATTTCATTCTTACTAAAACGCTTCGGACACACGAAATTAATGGTAATAACAAATTTTATTTACTTTTGTCAACATTAAATTATTATGAAAAGTTACATAATCTTGATTAGTTTTGTTACTCATTGACTATAAATAAAAGGTTAGGTGTAGGAGGTCAAAAAAATTCCTGTAAGGTTTAAATGCATGTGTTGTATTGTTTAAGGTTAAATGTAAATTTTTTGTCCTTGGTCAGTTTCTCAGTTACTTTGAGTAAAAGGTCAATCATATGTGGCCCAAAAAAAATCGTCGTAAGGTGTACATGTCCGTCTAACAGGGACTGAATTACCTCATAAATTTCATTGCATGGTTCATTGAATAAGTTTTCCTGCTTTAAAGTCATCTTATTTCATCTATAATACCGACTTTCAGTAAGCTTCTAAAAGTGAGTATACAATGTATTCAAAATTATTTATGAGAATTGAAAAAGAAATGTAGCATGTTTAACCTTTTAACATTGTCAATTACCATTAAAGATAAATATCTAGATAAAACACTGCATTTAATTATCAGGTACCCGCATAAGTGTAATCATGGAAGTATTACATTGACTACTTCCATGGTGTAATAAACAAATCAAATGTAATCTAAGACTTATAGGTATTCAACCATACAAACAATAAATAATTATGAAAATGAATATGAAGTTTATTCATTAACTGTATTCT